TGTAATCGCCTTTAGTGCATAGATCAAGGCCGCATTACTTCGTTCAGACAGTAACAGAAATACCACTGACTGCAGATTTATACATAATAAAAATATCAGTTATTTTTTAGGGTTTTAGGTTTATGTTTTCAATACCGCCGATTAGAATAATACATACCTGTCACCACCGAATTTACAGAGGTAGTTGCTTTGTCCCTTTGTTTCTAAATGTCTAAAGGAGCGTTTCTTAAACCGGTCACTTCATCGTTACAGCCCTTGCAATACGTAAGATGCAAAACCACTTCATTATATTAATCTTATCAACATCACATTAATTGCTCATAGAGTCGCCGGATCATATGATTATTATTTGATCGCGCGATCTTAATATCATTTGTTGATTATTGCATAAGTTGTTTTGTGATCATATAATTTGACAAGGTGATATTTTCATTACCACATTATGATTATGTCGTAAGATTATGTGATCGTATTTGATGCCTGTATATGATTTCCAGTTGTCTAATCGTATCATTTTCACATGATATTACCTAATGTACACCTGAGCAGATATTCATGTTATGCATAGTCATGAGGTATTACTGATAGTGTACGTACTTTGAGGGAATTACTACTGCGAGTAAAAGGACACGGGAGGTTTTCTCTCTAAGGTTTATTCTACTTAAAAGCTACGGTGTGAGCTTAGACAAGGAGGCAAAATTGCTGAGGCATATGTATAATTATGAGCTTACTAAAGACGAGTAAAATCGCTGTATTAACAGTTTGGTCTGAACCATTAATCAGTATAGACTAGTCCATACCGGTATTTGTATTGTGATGATATTATGTCTAATGCATATTAATTAGTGAATTAATCTAAATTATTGTTGTTTTAATTATTATGTTTATGCTAATTTGTTTTATAGTTCTCGGGAGGCATCGAATGGCGAACGAAGATCGACGTTCAGCGTGGAGCAGTGTTAGCCACTGAGCTGAAAAATAATAGCTGTAAGCTGTCCAAATGGACTGTTCAGGCTATATTGGCTTGCTCTGACTACATCAAGTTTGGGTACTCTTTCTCTGATATTATTCATTTGATTCTGTCATCATATGATAAAGTTCACAGGCATGTATGAACAAAAAGCTTAGGTATGAACTTGCTGAAAGAGGATAATTTCCAACGTTACCCTAAATATATTAAATTATTGTACGTTTAAGTAAAATTAAGGATTAATTTTTATGGTTTAATGAACGGCTTAAATTTTTTAAATTCTGTTGTGGCGACTATGAAATTCATGCTGTAACAATGCTTTACTCCCCGTCGTAACTTCATAATACAGTGTTTAATATACATATGGGAATATATTCAGTAAAGCCAGAATATTTCCAGCTTGGACTGAAACGCCAGTCAGTTTCATTTTCTTCTGGCGTGCGTTGGTCGAATCTTTTGTGAATGAATTACCACTCTGTATGGTAACATGTATGAACTGTTTCACTCTTCTTATCTTTAACTCCCATGGAAACGAATGAACAGTAAAACTGTTAGTTCGGGACATTTACTCACGGTTTTTATAATTACTTTTGACGTCACGAAAGCACCGCTTTACGGTGATAACGGAAATATTCAATTTAAGTGCTGTAATGAAAGTTAAGCTAGCGACTTTAGTTCAGAAATGATGTCGTTCTTATCGTAGAAAGAAATTTAATTTATCAAATTTATCATCTGGTTTGATATTGTGCTGGTTTTCCTTCGTAGTGCAGGCTACATCGAACCTCCTTTCGGCCTGCCTCCCTTCAGCTTTGCGCAATCTTTCTTTTGGTAGCAGTTCTTAAACCCCGTTGACACTATTTTACTGCATTTAAGTCAGAAGCGTGTTTTAATTTGACGTCGTTTTGCAATCGTAGTCTACAATAATTACTGCCATATTGCGAATCATTCCATGTAAGCAGCAGTTTGACACTGAATGTTACCTCAATTTTAATCCCAAATTCCGACATGCGTATAAACTAAGACATTCAAAGCCTTAGACTTACTTGGAAACAACATTGCATTTACTTAGCCTCACTGCTGCAACTGCACAGAAGCTTAATTCAATAAATCATTTGAAACGAACCCCATAGTAGTCTTCATCGACGTGACTTTCAACACAGAAACTATAATCGTTTCAGAAGCCACGATCTGCAGGGCATAGTTCCCAAAACAGACCTCAGAAGTCACCTCATTTGGTGATTCAGAATCAGCTTCAGCGGAATCATACAATCCATTTTCAAAATGGTAAAGTGAATATGCAATTTTCAGAATAAACCAGACGGCGCCTTCTACCAGAAAAGTGTTGCGCCTTCAAAGCTATAGTAATTGCTGCATCAAAATGGAACAGACCTTGGAATTAACAAAATCAGACCAGCTTTGAAGTCCTTTCAGCATTTCGTCAAAGTTTCGTTGGTTCGTTGCCGTCGTTCATTCGCTATCCCTGTGACGGAACAATGAAAGCCCTAGTGTATTTCATGTAAAATGCTGTAAAACGGGAGAGTTTGTAGAAGTTCATTATTTAATATGTATTTTCCTAATCTTTCAGGTATAGACGCTAATAATAATGTTCATGATAAAAATGTTTTTGTGATTCAGTTGTGTTGGGTACAGGCTCAAGACTGATCTCCTTAAAACACTTCATGCAGCAAAACGTTTCAGTGATATAGCAATAGCCATCTTCAAGCCATAATAAGACGTATTAATAATTTATTTGGCTTAACAAATTATAATATTATTTGAATTTGTAAGACACTACTTTGTTCGAAATTACGTCAAAATTGTTTTTGGTGCAGAACCAAGGTTCGGGGGATGTCATCAGCCCTTTTCAACTGCAAATTATTTAAATTTAATTTTTTAAGCGTTTTTCATATATTTGCGTCAGTTGTTATTTAGTTACGTTTCTCGAATTCATGTTCGAGATTCAAGTCGACATGTGATACTCAGTACGCAGCAGTTCAAACCCAGCGAATTCGCCTGTCAAATCAACTTGAACATGGACAACGCATGGGGTAATTTAGCTGATTCGGAATTTACAGATGGACGCTGACCTCCCTACCGGTTTTAGGCATTCTGCGTTGCATCATTGACAAATGTATGGA